GCCTACAACACCCCCCCATTACACACACACACACACACACAATCCTCCTCCTCTCCAATACCCTCCTCCCACCTTCCAGAGAGGGGGGACGTGAGGTGGAGGAAAAGAGGGGGGAGAAAGACCACCCTCACTGGGATCACAGCCCCTCAATCAGACCCTTTCACACCCTGTGAACCTGAAACAATCAGGGTTTAATAGCAGCTGTCTGTCTGTGCCGGCCCTGGCCTAAACCACGCAGGCTCACAGTGCTCGGCCGATCGGCTTCGGCTGCAGAGAGAACAGAGTAGACGGGCATGGGATGCTCCAAAGGACACATAAGCAAAGACACACACAGACTCACAGATAGTCCTTTCTGTCTCTATCCCCTGCTATTCTTTTCTCAACTCCGACTATGCTCCTTTGACTCATGAAGAGGTGGTCTGTTTGATTAGATCTCTGATGGCGGGGTCTGGCATTAGAGGCTTATGCTGGTTCTTCAGGTTGTGATTCTTTGTGTGTTTAGACTACAAGAAAACTTCAGTTGAGTTTGTGTGTCACCATTTATCTGCAATTGTTCATTGAGAATGGATACATTTTGGTTGTGATGACATTTTTTGGTTATCTTTAAGGCCCCCCAAAATCTGAATATTACTACAAGAAGCCTCAAACATGTGCCAAAAGTCTGTTTTCACCATAAAAAACTGAAGCCTACAGTCAGTTCACACAAAGGATTTTGTAAGATCCCCTCTTCCTAGAATCCGTCAAATGATGCTTAAATGAAGCAGAGGAATGAGGGGGCGGGGAGGGTGGTTGTTACTAAGTAGTGGGCTGACACCAGAGGGCAAAGGCATTAGACACTTAGAAATCTTGAATCACATTAGCCAAAGGGCAGCTATAATAGAAAGGGGAAATGTTGCAGTCATGGGAAATATTCAGAAAATCATTGTTCGTGGTCACTTGGAGCTTTCCCAGCCACTAGAGGATGTACCAGACAAACTGTGTTAGTGGTGATTAAAAATAATAATAATCTGCAGAGATAATCAGTTCAAAAGCAGTAGGAAAACGAGACACAGGTCGGCTGGAAATGATTTAATTGCTTTGGTGGAGAGATGATGAAAAATTGAAGCCACAGTGGTGAGTTAAGAGTGATCCCACAACTGATTTTTATTTTGTAGATGAAACATTTATCTACTAATCAACCAAAACAGTTGACAGATTAATCAGGGATGAGAATAACTGCTAATGGCAGCTGTAATCAAATTTTATAGGTGCAGTCCAGCTGTTTCCTTATTTAAAAAAAAACTCAGGAGTGGCTCCAGTGTGGAAACATTGTTGCTTTAGTGGAGCGCAGCAGGAAACTTTAAGAGTAATGTTGGTTCTTTTTTTACATTAAATCCTAAGACTGAGCCTGAGGGAATATGTGCATGCATGTGATATTAAGCATGCTGCACGCAGTAAAAGGTGGGGTCAATTCCTTCTCCATCGTCCTTTCTTCTTCTTTGAATTAGGGTGGTGGTTTTTTTATACATTCATGTGTTTGTGCACATGTGTGCGTTTAAGAGCAGCAAAGTCGGTCGACTGTTAACTATCATCTCATGTGGTCGATATTAGAAATCAAACTGGTGCTAATAGGATCCAGGTGAGACTGTGAATAGCTTTTGTATGCACTAACAACCCACATGGATACACACTCATTTCCCACTCGGTTTGCAAACAATGGGCGTGTGGTTGGGGTTTCTTTGAGGGATGGTGGTCGACTGTGGATGACAAAAGAAAGGAAGAGAAAACCAAATCTGATGTTGTCATTTTGTAACGATTATATTCAGTCGTCCGATCAGATTGGTAAAAGCCAATCAAGCTCCTGTGTGTGAGTAGGGACCATGTAATGAGCTTGTTGTTTACAGATGTGTGTGTGTGTGCATGCGGGTTCATTCACAGAGTTTTTTGTGCTCTTGCAAGATTATGTACCCGTATGTGTGAGCGTCGATTGCCGCGTGCGTTTCAATGTGTGTGTTCTCAGCCGCTGGTGACTCATGGCAGAAAGCGAAGAGGAGGCGGTGTTTATTATTTCACCAGGTTGCCATAGACACGATGCATTCGGGTGCTGCCATCATCAGTGTAATTACGACACAGTTGTCTTATAGTCACCCTCCTCGCTGCCTGCGTCTCGCTGACTTCCACCAATACAAACGGATAAACACCGGTGTGACCCTTACGATTTCAGCGGTGTAGGGTTGCCCTGAGATATCACGCCTGATACGATGAGCCCTCAACAGGACGCATGCTTCAGAATTTTCCTTCTTCTTCTTTCTCTTCCTCTCCAACAAGAAGACAGATCGCTCCTCGTTAGCACTTCATGTGGAAGCAGCAACATTTCCAGCAGTTCCGTGTGCTGGAACCATCATTTCCAATCCCATTTGGTTAGAGACAGAAGTAGACGGAGTGAGACGAGAAGTTAAGAAGTGCAGAGGCGTACTCGTGTTGCGTGTGTTGTGATGGGTCTTGTGGAGAACAGCTCTGTTATCTAAGATGAGATAACGTCTTAGGATTCCTGGCTTGGCATATGTTCTCAGCAAGCCTGCAGTTGAACCATATACTCACCTGTATGTATAAAACACACATGTAGCACAAAATATGCGACTAATCGTGCCGTGCTACGCTGCGTTTTTCGTGCAGTGAGATGCAGATGCACATGGATGTCGATAGCAGTGTGTGTTTTGATTTCTTGTTGTTGTTTGTTTGTTTTTTGACACGTCACTGGTGAGTGCAGCATTACACGTCACAGTACACGGCAGTGTGCACAATATAAACATGCTTCCCATTTATCACAGTCAGTGCTTCAGAGTTAATGGGAAATTTTTCACCTTTTTTATATTGAAGTGCATGATTTAAGAAAATGTTATGAAGATAACAAGATAAGATTTAGGCCTAGTATTTACTTTAAAACACTTCTGTTAGTTCCCCCCGATACCCAGCCACGGTGTAGAGGAGCATCTGTGTGTTTTAATCGCATTTCTCGGAGATAAGAACTTTGTGTGCCAACTCTGCCATTTCGAAATGAAGCTAAACAGATTGTGCAGATCTACTTACCCATTTGTATACGTTTTTTTTCTGAATGACCTCAGTGTCAGTGTGTTCCAGGTTTATAGGGGTACAAAACAAATTTAAAACAATGAATGGCCTAAACCACATATCATTGTGGCTTTGTACTGCATGTTTATGAGAGGAGTGGTGTGGTCAGTCGGACCCACAAAGAGAACGATACAGATTCTTTCTCTTTGTGTGTGTCTCTTCTTTTGTTACTTCCCTTCCAAA